ACAATACACCACTCCTATAAAATAGGACCATGTGAAAACCAAAGCCCGAAGGCCACTTATCTACTGAGCTGGGACCTAGCGCGCTTCCGTGTGGCTTCAAGTCCACAATTCGGGGGGTGACAGGATAATGTGGGGTGATGTCCCACCAGCATCCCCCCAAGTGGCCTGGCCCTCTGCGCCTGGAACAGAGGTAGGGAAACAACGCCTCCTTTCAGGACTGCTGTGAATGCGCGGACAATGCCTGGATGGTGTTAGCACCTGGCGGGGGGGGGGGGGGGGGGGGGGGGGGGGAGGGGGCGGGGAAGCTGAGTCCTCATTGTGGCCCCATGTCTTCAGAGCCTGGACTGTCCCAGGTGTGGACAATTCTGCCGATTCTCCCCTCCCCACTCCCCTCCCCCACCTCAGCCCCAGATCACAGGCCCGGACTTACAACCTGAGAATGGCCCAGCTCTCACAAGCCATATGCCCGCTGGCGGGGCCGCGGCACAGCGTCGCTGGCAGACTCTGGGGGCAGGCTGGCTGTGGTGTGGGCAGAAAGATGCCACCAAGGTGCCTGTGGTTCTGAGCTGTCCTGAACCCAGTACATCAGAGGGATCCAGGAGGGAGAAAGGAGTGCATTGGCCGCCGATGCCCCATGGCCGCCGCCCTGGCTCCCCCGCGCATCCCTCTCTGCTCCGTGCCCCCCCCCCCCCAGGGACTCTTTCTCCTGCCCGGCCGGACCCCCGCATCCTCCCGTCCCCGCAGCCAGGCGGCACGGTCGGACGGTCGGACCCGCTGGGGGAGTGAGGCCTCCGGGCAGGCAGACGATGAATCCCACCTGCATAGACAGCCCAGCTCCACAGGTGCCCGGGGCTCGCCCTCCCGCATGTCCGGTCATCCCCGCAGCCCCTTTCGTCCGCCAGGGAGTCTGCCCGCAGCTCGGGAGCGGCAAGAAGAACCAGCATCACCACCTCCGCGCACTTTACCCACTTCCCATCCGCAGCCCCACCCGCCCCGCCCGGGACCACCCCACCCCACCCCCACCCCAGGCCGCGCGGTGCGGGGAGGTGGGCGGCGGGCGCAGTGGACGGCAGAGCCTCCCGGACCCCCGGCTCCTACCTCGCTGGAGTCTGGATTCTGGATTCCGCGTCCCGATTCTGGTGCAATGACCACGCCGGTTCCTGGTCTCGGCGGCGGGTACCGAGCGAGGTTTCCCTGGCACCAGACCGCCGGGTCCCGTAGGACAAGCTCCGCGCCCGCGACCGTGGCTGCAGCCTCCGCAGCGCCGACGGCGAGCTTGGCGAGCCGGGCCGGGCCGGGGCCTCCCGTCTCCGTCCGCCTGGCCCCGCCGGCTTCTGGGCCCTGCTGAAGCCGGGCTCGGGGACTTGGGGACTCCGGGCCCGATGAATAATGGAGCAGCCCTTCCTCCCTGGGTCTTTTTCTGTCCTTTCAATAGTTCATGCATTCCACATTGGCTGAGAAGTTTCATAAAACCTCTGCTTTTTCGGAATCCCGGGCCAATCTGAGCAAATCCGATGGCTTCATGCATTAGGTCTTAATTAGGTACACACACACACACACACACACACACACACACACACACACGAGCACATCCAGCTTTGCAAGCTGTGCCTTGTGTTCAAGTGAAGGAAAATACCCAGGTATGTCCCGGAGGGCACTGGTCCAGCTTCCTATGGGAGGAGCGTCCTCCTGGCCTATTTGAAGCCAGGCTTGTGCGGAGGGTCTGCTTTGCCCAGTGCAGTATGAGCAGAGGGACACGCGTCACTCACAGGTGGAAGTTTTAGGAGCCCCTGAGGTGTTTGTCATCCTCTTTTCTCTGCCTCTGGTGCTCCTCTTTCAGAACAAAGCTGCAGGGCCAGGCTCCAGCCATGTCCCCCCACGCCCCGCCCCCTCCCCTCCCCCCAATTACCTGGCTCTGGATGGAGATGACAGAAAATAGCGACTTAGAGCCATTTCCTGGCTTTGAAGTTAACCTTGGGAAGGGCAGTCTGGCTTGGGATCAAAAGCATTGACACATTAGAACCCTTTGACCCGGCAGCCCAGCTTCTATGGATCTAATTATCAGTCTTCATCAAGGCCTTATTTGTGATGCACACAAATTGGAAACTCCCGAAATAGCTACTACATGGGAATCAATTAGGATAAGTTTGTCATACCCATATGATGGAATACTATACAGCCACTAAAATCAGGTTTTCAATTTAAAGATAGAGAAAGGTGCTCATAGTATATAAATAGCATTTGTATTTATTATATCCTTATATGTATTAGAGAATTTGTACCCAAAATATTTATATCATGTGACCCACTTAGTGGAGGGGGGGGGGAGAAATAATATACATACACACATACATACAACTAGCGGTTTCCTTCTCAAGACAAATGTAAAACTTTAGACAATAAAAAAAAAGTTCCAGACAGATGAGACCCCAGCACTGAGCACAATGTAAAGCTTTGTCCTTTTCGCTGGAAAAGTAACAGGAGAGAGAGTCACCACTAAGCCTGCACTGAGGAAAATGAGCAACTCCTGTTCACTCCTGCCCCTGCTCCGTGTCTAAAATCCAGCTTGTGTGCTTTCTCCAGGGTTGGCAAACCACAGCCTGCTGCAGGTTTTTGTAAATCGTTTTATTGAAATACAATTTGGAATACAATTGGAATACAATTACTCATTCATTTATGTACTATCTGTGACTGCTTTTGTACTGCAGAGGCAGAGGTGAGAGATTATCACAAACTGTATGGCCTATAAAGCTGAAGCCATTTACGATCTGGCCCTTGACAAAGAAAAGTTTGCTGACCTCTGCACTCTCTGATATGTTTGTCTGAAGAAATGGGCTAGGGGGGAATTGTTGGAAGTTGTATATGGATTTCACTAAGAGTCCCACCCTAGGGAAAGACATTATGTCTGTTGTCAGAAATTCTTCAGTGGGACAAAATTTCGCTTGTAAGAAAATCTTGATTTAAAAAGAAAGGAAAGAAGAAAGAAAAAGAGGGAAGGTACAAAGGAAGAAGAGGAAGAAGAGGGAGGGAGGGGAAAAGGAAAGGGAGGGAGGAGAAAGACCCTCTTCCCTTGCTGGAACAACAGCCCTCCAAGCAGTCAGCTGTGGGCTATGGGAAGACCCCTGGTCATCCACCCGCTCAAGCCCCCACTCTTTACCACAATACAATACACAGAAAGGCTAAGGTCCAGACTGTCTGAAACTGAGGCAGAGGTTAGATAATACCTAGAAACTGAACACTGTATTTGCTAGAATATAAAGAGTGTGTCAAAGCCTCTGAACAGTTCCATCTCTTGGTGTCCAGAATGTCTCTCACTAAGTTTAAAAAAACTCAGAGTATGGTCTAGTCCAGAAGAGAAAGTGTCTCCAGGTTGGCAGACGCATACCATCTAGTGCATACCATCTGTGGCCACGCTAATTTTGAACATAAAAAACTTTCCAAATACACATCTTGACAAATAGTTCATTATATTCATCCATATAGAAAATAAGTTCTTAATATTTTGAAGATTTCAACATAGGAGGGAAAAAAAGCATAATCAGAACATTTTATATAGTAAATAAACTTTATTTATCTGTTCTTCCAAGATGACATTGCCAACAGTCACAGGTTTGCATACAATAGTTATGTGTTGACTATTTACAATTTACAGTAGTATTTTTTCCTCTGAAAAATATAAGTACAAAAGCTAAGTAAACAATGAGGTACTGCAGTTTGGATTTCTCGTATGTCATAACTTAAAGAACTAGTCTTCAGTAAATTTCAACAAATCAAACTGGATAAAAGAGTAAATTAAATGCTCTAATTTATCAGGAAAAAAAACCCACTAAGTTTCACCTCCAAATGTATTGCACAAGTCTTTTTTAAAAATCACTCTAAAAATAAATAGAAAAGCAAGCAGATCTTTTCAAGAGAGACAAAAAGACTGGAAGAAAGGAACATTTAGTGAGCCCATAAATCAGGTTACCTAAATTAGTTAAAAAGTTTTAAATAACACAAAACTCTTCCCAGGAGAAAAAGAAGAAAGAAAAAAGCTACCACCATTTCCCACTGATACAACCTATTTTAAAGGCTAAATGTGGGCCAATGTGAGATTTTTCTTGGTCTTTTGGCTACAGGAAGAGCCCCGAACAACAGCTTTTCTCATAGAGCAGCAATGTGCAGCCTCCAACTTTGCCCAACATGATTCTCCTCATTTCTTCAAGATGAAGACCGAAGCCATGACTGGAAAAGGAAAAGGAGACAAGGATAAAGAAAAGCACACCTTTAAAGCCAACCTTTTGGGAGATTAGTTGTTTCAAGTTAAACTTAAATTATATTCTATGGCCTGGTATTGAAGTAGAAATTTTCTAAGAATTAAGTCCTACCGAAATCATCTAAAAATTGATGTCCTTGGAATGATCTGATCTAGAGACAGCAATCCTGAGAAACAGTGTTTGTAAGAGTGACACTGAAGCTGCAGCCTTCCACCTTATATTGAATGCTACCAGGTCATAGATAAAGCCAAGAGTCGCCATGCTGACTCAGCAGTTTCTCTGGACGCAGCAGTTCAGACTGCATTACAGAGGAAAGAGTACCCCCTGCCCCTATGTGGGGTTTTCCTAGATACTGCAGTTCTCAGGGGTGGCATGCGTGGCAGCAAAGGACAAACAGCATTTTGGTGTAAAAGCTATGCCTCACTTGAAATTAACAACCTTAACTTTAAAAATGTAAAATATTATGAGAAATAATGCCAGACCTCCCTAATAAGTTGTCTTAAATGCTAAAATCTCATAGATCAAATATGAGGTTTTTTTAAAAAGCCATAAAAATAAATTACTGAATAAGACTAAGTAAATGAGACAAACGTTCATATATATTTACTGAAAAGAGAAACTTTTAAAGTCTTCTCAATTTGTAAATGAACTATATAATCTGCTACTTATGATGTACTTCAAATAGCATCATATTCTTTATGAAACTAGCTCAATTATCATGTTGGCCCTAGAAATCTAGATAAGAAAAAAAAAACTTCTATTTAAATTCCCATGTCAGTTATTATTTCAAAACCTCGCCAGGACTGGTTTGGCTCAGTGGATAGAGCGTGGGCTTGGGGACTGAAGGGTCCCGGGTTCGATTCCGGTCAAGGGCATGTACCTTGGTTGCGGGCAGATCCCCAGTAGGGGGTGTGCAAGAGGCAGCTGATCGATGACTTTCTCTCATCAATGTTTCTAACTCTCTATTTCTCTCCCTTCCTCACTGTACAAAATCATAATAATATAAAATATATATTAAAAAACAAAAACAAAAACCTCACTTAAGCTGTGGCAGGAAAAAATTCATGCATGACCCAAAAATGAATGTCAATATCATGAAAGACAAAATGGCTGGGAGGAGTTCTCCAATTTAAAGAAGAGATAGAAAAACATGACAATCAACGGCAATATGCAATCTCTGAATGGATCCTGAAATTTAAGAAATTATGGAAAATGTTCTTTCAGACACTGGAAAAATGTAAGTATTACTACATACTAGATAACAGTATTATGTTAATATTAAATTTCCTGAGAGTGATTATTGTATTATGAGTATGTAAGAAAAGCCTTTGTCCTTAAAGATATTTGCTAAAATGTTAGTTTATGTTTGCAAGCAACTGTCAAATGTTATAAAGGGGAAATACACATGGAGAGAAAGAGTGAAAATGAGAGCAAGTGAAAAAATTTGGCAGTTAGTAATTGGTGAATACAGGTAAAGGTATATAAGTGTATATTATACCATTTTGCAAATCAAACTAAAAGTTGAGGAGACAGTCAATTAATCAATCAATAGAAATGCTACACAGTAATAATTTTCAGTACTTAAATGCAATAATATAATAAGCATGATGAGATATTTATATTATTAAAAAAGGAAAATTTGCACTAGCAGGTTTGGCTCAGTGGATAGAGTGTCAGCCTGTGGACTGAAGGGCCCAGGGTTCGATTCCAGCCAAGGGCACATGCCCGAGGTGGGGGCTCAGACCCCAGTGGGGAGCCTGCAGGAGGCAGCCGATCAAGGATCCTCTCTCATCACTGATGTTTCTACCTTTCTCTCCTTCTCCATTCCTCTCTGAAATCAATATTTATATATGAAAATTTAAGACTTACTGAGTTTGATATGAAATTTACATGACCAAGATAATTCTAGGTAATCACTAAGGCAAGTTAATTGATATATATTAAAATCAAAATGAGCCTCAAATGTAAGCAAAAAGAATTTTTAAAGCTAAACAGGTTTTGTTTTTTTTAATACTGTATATTGGAATTTTAAACCTTGATACTGTTAGCTGAATACTAGCCAAATTAACAATCATAGGAAGTCTTTAATTGTAATTAAGTTTATTAATTGTGATCAGGTTATTTGTGATTTGTGAAAATTCTAGCTAAGTTTGAGGCAAAAATGTTCTCTAAATTTTTAGGGGTTGCTAAATCAAGCTAATTGCATGAATAATATGTGGAGGTAATTGAAGAAGTGTTGAAATAGTGAAGACAGTTAACTGTTTTTGAAATATTTTAGATGCCTTCACTTCACTATAACAACATGAAATCTATATCATAAAAACCTAAGCGACCATTATAGTGAAAAGATCAGAATGACGGGTCGCTGTAATGCTCACTGACCACAAGGGGGCAGATGCTCAACACAGGAGCTGCTCCCTAGTGGTCAGTGCGCTCCCACGGGGGTGTGTGTGTGTGTGTGTGTGTGTGTGTGTGTGTGTGTGTGTGAGTGAGGGTGAGGGTGAGGAGAGAGTGCGGCTCAGCCTGAAACTGGGCTCATGGCTAGCAAGCACAGCAACGGTGACAGGAGCCTCTCCTACCGCCACAGCAGCGCTAAGGAGCAGCGAGCAGTAAGGAACAAGTGACTGCAAGAGGGCGCAGGCTGGGCTGAGAGACCCCCCCACCAGTGCACAAATTTCATGCACTGGGCCTCTAGTTAGAAATAGCCATTTTCAATTAAAGCAGGTTGCCTAAGAGTCTCCACAGGACAAATGTGTTATTTCATTGATCCCAAGAAGTAATAAAACTGCACTTATTTTTAAATCAACTTTACTAAATTTCATTATTTCAGACTAGCCTGGACCCTAAGTAAGCTTTACAATATTTTAAATTCTGGATTGTGAAATAAATCACTTCATTTTTACTTAAAAAATTATTTTTCATTTCTTTCTTACAATCTTTATTGACTTCAAAGAACATTCTTGGAAATTAAAAAACTAAAATGAATATAGAATGCATAAGTACTTTTTTGGATTCTTTAACAAAATTTCAAAAGAGCAATTCTGAAACTTTCAAGTACTACCTAAAAAAACTAAAACTCCCTAAAATTATATAATCTTACTGGTGGAGGTGATCGTTAATCTATTAAAGAGAATTAATGGAAAACACCCAAATTAACCCATAGCAAAATCATATATTCATTAAACAAAAAAGCAAAAGAATTCCAGAGAAATGGTTAGTATCATGCAACACAGAAGACACAAGACATTAATCTTCACTCACCACATGCTAACTAAGCACAGACTGATGGTTTACTCAGAAGATACCACTGCGAGGTGAAGTATACTACAAAGCCAGGGAAAAAAAGCTTATTGGGTTAGTTTTAAGACTTAATATAAAACATAGGTTATATGTGTATATGAACTTCAAATGATTAAACAGATTCTACTTAAAATTTTTCTCAAATCAAGGAAGCATAGACTAAGTAAGTATAAGGAATCTGTAATTCCTCCCTCTTATTCTAAATATAATAATATGTAGCTGATATTTTTACTTGTAACTTTAATTTAAAAATTTAAACAACATAATTAAAAATGTACTTCCCACTTTAAGTACATATTGATATGCTACATTAGAATATAATTACTTGTTTTATAAAAAGATGTATTTCATAATTTCATTAAAGTACACATTCAAATTTGATTTATATAATCTCAGTTGGCCATCAAAAGGTTATGGGGAAATGTTGATGTATATGACTACAGCATATCTATGTCAAATTGTCATTTCAAATGTATGTCAATTTTATCACTGAGTAGTTCTCTTATAATTCAATAGTACATCAGGAATAGTTTTAGGAAAGATAACCCATCCCAAATTTAAAGAGACCCAATTTCAGCCGAAACTGGTTTGGCTCAGTGGATGAAGCGTCGGCCTGCAGACTGAAAGGTCCCGGGTTTGATTCTGGTCAAGGGCATGTACCTTGGTTGTGGGCACATCCCCAGTAGGGGATGTGCAAAAGGCAGCTGATCGATGATTCTCTCTCATCAATGTTTCTAATTTTCTATCCCTCTCTCTTCCTCTCTGTAAAAAATCAATAAGAAATATTTTTTAAAAATTAAAAAAAAAAATAAAGAGACCCAATTTCAGCCCTTGCTGGTATGGCTCAGTGGATAGAGCGCTGGCCTATTGCCTGAAGAGTCCCAGGTTTGAGTCCATTAAAGGGCACATGCCCTGATTGTGAGCTCAATCCCTAGTGGGGGAGCATGCAGGTGGCAGCTGATCAATGATTCTCTCTCATCATTGATGTTTCTAGCTCTCTTTCTCCCTCTCCATTCCTTTCTGAAATCAATAAAAATATATATTTTTTAAAAAGGAGGACCTAATTTCAAACATAGTTTTAATGCAGCAACCTTCTGCAGTAAATCCTATGTCCTGTTTTAAGATTGTCATAATCTGCCAAAACCGGTTTGGCTCAGTGGATAGAGTGTCAGGTCTGCAGACTGGGGGGTCCCAGGTTCGATTCCAGTCAAGGGCATGTACATTGGTTGGGGGCACATCCCCGATAGGGTGTGCAGGGGGCAGCTGGTCGATGTTTCTCTCTCATCTATGTTTCTAGCTCTCTCTCTCCCTTCCTCTCTGTAAAAATCAGTAAAATCTATTAAAAAAAAAAAAAAAAAAAAGATGGTCATAATCCAAGATTTTTAACTAGCTTCCTGATTTGCTTTAAAAGAGCATTAGGTGTTGTTTATAAAATCTGAGTCTATTCTTGGATAATGTGACCAACCTTAGAAGTACCACTTTACTTATTTATTTATATTTAATGTGAGGTTAGTAAAAAGTAGCAAAATCAAAAGGCAAACTAGAAAATATTTGCAACACATACAACACAATAAGGTTAATATACTATTGGAAAACTTGCAAAATATATGTTATGGATGCTCCCCTGGGCCTATGCTTGTAAGTATTGAAAAACTGGCCATCACCTAAGTGTCCATGAATAGGAAACTGGTGAATTAAATTGTAGGACATCCATATAATCATAAAACCAGCCATTAAAAAGAATGAGGTAGAACTATTTGTAATGAGGTAGCATAATATAAAAATAGAGTAAGTGGAAAAAGCAAGCTGCTGCCTACTCTCATTATTATGAAATAATTAGTGATGAAGGAATAATTACTAACATACTAACGAAGGTTAGAAAATCTGGGACAGTCACCACACAATAAACAACAATGGTCATGGCGTGGTGACACAGCTGGGGGCTGAAGATCAGGAAGGCCCCCCTCTGTGTAATGCTTCTCAACTGTTTACAATGTGTTTTGACGATAACTTATTACATAATTATTTTAAAAATTAAGAGTAAAACTTTTAAGATTATAAATCAATATTTTACACATGCAATCTCTTTCATTACGCATCGGTTTTATTGGTTAGAACCAGAACAAATTGCTGACCATTACTGAAAGGGAGATTTGGGCTCAAGATAAGCAAGAACTTTTCTAAGACACACACAGTCTGCCTAGATAAGGTGGAATGCTTTGGGAGATAATTACTTATTGGTTTAGTCCTTCTTTCTGGAACAGTCAAATATAGGCTAACCCATCACTAAGGAGAAGATCTTTTCTTGCTTCAGTGAGGAGACAAGAAAAGAGAAGTGCAGATCATGAACAGGGCAAAAGAAGTCAGGCATGGAGAATTTTGCATAACTTATAAAGTGTTTGTTCCAATTTAATCACAGCTGACTTCACACAGGGTTTCTAATAATTCTGTTATTTACATTTCTCTTGTAGGATATGTCACAAGCTCAAAAATGCTTAAATTCACGCAGCCAGTGTGGGTCAGTAGTTGAGTGTCAACCTATGAACCATGAGGTCATGGTTCCATTCCCAGTTTTGGGCTTGATCCCCAGTATGGGGTGTGCAGAAGGCAGCCAATTGATGATTTTCTCTCATCACTGATATTTTTCTCTCTTCCTCTCCCTTCCTCCCTCTGAAATCAATAAAAACATATTTTTTAAATGCTTAAATTCTTTCACTCAGAATTACTGTATATTTGAAATCAACTAAAATAGAACTGCAATCTATAAAACGTCATTATATACTTAATGATTATATCAGAAAAATCCCTTTTCTATCCTTCCTATAAATAGCCCAAATTCTGGAAATCCAATATAGCATATATGGGCGTCAACTTCATATTTGCTATTAAATAAGACAGTTCTTTCCTTGAAGACACCCATTCACATATCTGCCCTAAATTAAACTTTTCTTATTGTGGATTCACTCTCATTTTCCAGATTATAGTATAATAAAATAAAATAAAAATTATTTCTTTTACCAACTCAGTCTTTGTAAATAAGACAAAATAGAATATAAGTAGACTAGAGGCCTGGTGCACAAAATTCATGCATGGGTAGGGTCCCTAGGTCTGGCCAGAAATCAGGGCTGATCTGTGGGACAACCGGCAAGAAGATCAGGGCTCCTGCTAGCACCCGCCTTGGCTGGCATGGGGCCTGCAGGCTGGGGGCAGCTCCTGTGTTAAGCATCTGCCCTGGTGGTCAGTGCACATCATAGCAGCCAGTCATTCTGCCAGTTGTTCTGCCATTCAGACAATTTGCATATTAGGCTTTTATTATATAGGATAAGACAAAGTCGTCATCTATTAGTAACCTCTTTTAAAGCTTACCATTAGTCGAGCATCTTCTCTTTCCAAAATTTTCTGAGTCTGATCATCAGGGAACTTCAGAACAGTGGTTATAACTTTTGCCATGGTCTATAAGAAAAGCAAGAGATGATGACTAATAGATGTTAGAACAGAAGCCTTGACCCATTCTGACATGTCTGCTGGTGAGATTCGTAAGTGCTCTCAATGGAAGCCACGACCAAAGAAGTATGATGTGAAGGTATCAATCAAGGAAATAACAGCCAACACTAGAACTTCAATTTAAAAGAACTCCTCACAAAGTCTGGCTGACATTATTTTAAGAAGATACAATTACAATAGCATGAAGCTATATAAAGCTCTAACACTGTTGGCCCTTTGTCTTATTAATATACAACTTTATTACTCATTCATTTTATGAGGCTTTTTATTTGTAGAAATCTATCTATTGCCAATACATATGCTCTAAATAATCAGAATTAGATACTCCCAAGTTCAGCTTTAACTAAATCACATCATATATCTCATAAAAATGGGCTACTGCATGAACATGAACATGCTTAGTAGGTATTTTAAAACATGCAGCACATCAACCTAATAGAAATACAAATTACATTTTAAATAAACACAAGATGTTTTGTTTGGTCGAAAACATGACGAATCAAACAGTACATATGGTGGCTTGCAAAACAAGATAATAAATTGTGCAGATCTAAATAAATATACCGTAAGTCAGACTGTCACCCATAAGCTCGTGGAAAATTCTCCTCAAAGGTTGAAATTCCCTATTTTGTATCAAGA